TCCAGTCTCTCCAGAGACCCTTCCAGTGTCAGCCCGACCCGACCCACCACTTTGTGACTGCTTGCTGTTCACAATGTTTTCCTGTCACTATCAGCTGATTAGAATATTTACTAGTGAGAAACTTTAACCACTGAACTAACTGGCTAACTGAGTTCCTAAAAAGACGCATTTTTTCATAAATATTTGTAGAAGTCTTCGTGCCTAAGGGACCAGATTTTATACAGCTGAGGTCTAGAAGGGCCTGGAACACCAGAATTGTATACATACAGTTGGTAAATAAACGTTAATGCAGCTGGTGTTGTGGGTCTGCAGGAGCAGCGGATGGATAGCATTTTGGTTGGAGACATTGTGGCTGCTCCGTATCGAGACTACAACACATGGAACAGGGCCAGGGTGCTGGGGTTTCTGAGATCTGGACTGGTGGACCTTTACTATGTGGACTTCGGGGACAACGGGGAGCTTTCCAGGGACAGCCTGCGTCCCCTCAGGTAAGAGATGCCATGATTGTAAGGTGGACTTATCTGTAGAAGGAAAAAAACATGATTTGATTCCCAGCTGAATTTATAAGTTTAACCCCTTACTAATACTTTGACTTTATAGATTTTTTATAGCAGGTTTGTTTAAGATTTAAATATGGGCTCTAAACTGATTTGGATCTCAGTAAGTGAAATGAGTGTTTGATCACCTACTAGCTGATAAGCATTCTGACCTTTACAGAACGTCAGCTTTAAGCTTGGTGAGAAAGAGACCTACAATGGTGTTATGTTTCAAAAATGTAAGACTTACAAGATAACTGTTCATTTCTTCCCAAAGATGTTGAGTTGCAGTTTCCATTTAACAACTTCAGGACATTCAGGACGCTGTATCAGCTTGTCATCGACAGTACATGTCGATGACCTTGGGATGACTTGCTTTGTCCATGAATTTGTGACCAGACTAGTGATTTGTTTTTCATTGTAGTCTCAGAAATGCAAAGTATTATAATCTGCTCGGCTTTGCTACAAGAAACTCACGGAATGTGTTATAAATATCTAAAAGGGGCAGTATTATGTAAAGTCAACTTCTTTTTAGCTTTCCTTCACATAATAGTACTTCCTGAAAGCAGAGGTTCAGAAAAAGCAGGAGTTTTTAAATCGACAGAGGGCCAATTTCCAGGTGTTAAATTAAAGTCACATTTCTTTGATATTTGATACTTTTTTATAACAATTGAAGATAACTTAGTTACTTGATTGTGCTATAAAATGGCACTTTGTTTGTGGAAAATGGGTAATACTGCCTCTTTACATTTAGAGCATCATTTGTTGCTGTGTAAGAGAAATGGATTTTATTGAACTGCGGTCAACTTTCATGTCTCCACTTTCTTGCAGGGCACTTTAACTCAGCCTTGTTTTTGTCCTGTGCTCCACAGCTGCTGCCAGGAGCACATTTGCATGCAGTACTTGCTTCAAAACTTAATAACAGCTTCTTATTTTTGCTCCACTAAAATTCCAGGAGCGACTTCCTCAGCTTACCATTCCAAGCTATTGAGTGCAGCTTAGCAGGGGTCAGGCCTAAAGGTAAAATATTCACCCCGATTAAAATTACATTCACAGACACACATTTGAAGCCAGATACATACATTATATGAAAAGACCCATAACCTTTTTGTCTGACATCAAATCAGACTATCTTCATTTAGGTCAACCAAAATATTTTTTATTATCTAAATGAAAAAATGAGAGAGAGGACTTTATTTTTCTTTTTTTTTTTTTTTTAGAGATTTCTTTAAACAAATGTTTCTTCATATTCCAAAGTTTCCATGTTTCATCAGTATTTGGTAGATTTACCTTTTTAAATTGTAATATTTGGGTCAAATGTTGTGACTTTGTTGTTAAGCTACTTGGTTGGTAATCTGGTGGAATACTGAAGGTCACTGTTTATTTTAAAGACCCACTTGTGTCGAAACTTTAACATACTGCCTGATGCATTGGGCAGTTGGCTCAATGTTTCCTTCATGCATCCACAAGAAGACCTCCATTTGACTCAGAAGTTGTGAATTAAAGTATCAGAATATTGCAAAGCCTTGACATCATTGTCTGGGTTTTCTCAGATTTTTGGCAGCTATGGTTACCTTAGACATATCAAACTTATGACTTTTAAAAAAAATTATAAAAATTATTTGTCATATATCAGAAGTGTAGCAAGTGTAGTGTAGACAATCCTAACTAAGCTAAAACTGGTCATTTTCATGTCGGACAAAACAAAAGATTATGTCTCTTCTCACACAATTAATAACTTTAAATAGTAAACAATTAGAAGCTTCTTGTTATTCTCTTTTACATTGACTACAGATGTGCCTATAGCCTATATTAGCCTGTATTTTCCAGATGCTGTGTCTACAGACAGTGTTTCTGTTTTCTCATTCAGGAGAGGCTTGGACTGAAGCAGCTCTGGACATATTTGAACAGTTGACATACTGTGCTAACTGGAGACCCCTGCAGGCCAAACTCTGCAGTTACTCCCACTCCGAAGTCTCGTCCTGGCCAAGTGTTAATCTCTATGACAACAGCAAAGGAAAGGTTAGTTGTTTTTTTTGTGCTTTATTTATCCAGACCAGTTCATCGATTTGTGAATTTATTCACATATTTCAGACCTATACATTGCCGTTTAGCTCTGTTGTACCAATTGTGGCTAAATAAGTTTTTTTTTTCTTTTTTTAGTTCATTTTCATGAATTATGAAGATAAACAATGCTCTAATTTCACATATAATTAAGGTTGACATCAGTTACTAAAACCCTTACTGATGATCAAATACACGGGATGATCCAATCTGTGTACTGAATGTTTTAACATGTTGAGTCAAACCAAACATTTTAAGTGAGCCACTTAAAACACGTGTCTTCACCTCAACAGCCAGACATTCAAAAGAACATATTTTAGTAAGTCACGAGTCCTGGTAGGATGAATGGAGAGGAATAGATCAAATATCTGAATTTGATTTCATAGTTTTTGAATAGGGTCTTAATTTTAACTTACTAAATGTTGCTGTAATTATTAGTCAGAGGAGCACATCTCCCTAGTTAGAAGATTACTTTTACTTTTGTCAAAGTGGTGAATAAATATAACATAATACAAGTCGATGATAGTTGGTGCAAAGTATTCCAAAGTTGACAGCATCATTTCACAAAAGAAAACAATAGTACTCTAAGACTAAAATCGAAAGGTATTAAATATGAAAGGGTGAAATGACCAAGATGTGGACTTTTTTGTTTGAAACATGTCTTTAAACAAAATATTCAATCTGTTTCATTTAGGCTGTGGATATCGGTGAGGAGCTCATACGGCTGGGCCATGCTGTCAGCTTCCAGGAAACATTTAATGAGAAGGTAGAAGGGGACAATCTAGGCTGTTTGCAAAGGATGTTGGTGAGTCTTTAAAACAAAGTGTGAATTAAACTTAAATGTCTCCAGAGGTTTTACAAGAACTGGCATGTTTTTTTGTTTGTTTGTTTGTTTTTTCACTCCTAGATCAGTTTTGGGCTTTATGGCCAGCATGAACTTACACTTTCCCCTACATTTGTTTTAAACCTGACTATTTGAAAACATCTTGAAGTGGATTTGTTGTCTCCTTGCAGGATGATGTAATAGGAGCGACTTCAGAGCTCAGTCTGTCATGTATCAGTTTGTCAGGTGAGTGGAGAAACTGGAGGTAGGGGGTGTATGTATACACACACACACACGCACACACATACACTGAAATACACTAACCAGAGTGTAAACAGCTCATATAGTATTCAGAATAAAACCCATGTTTACCATGAAACCCAAAATCTTGCCGTGTTCAGTGATTACTTTCTAAGTTTGAGATGAAAACTTGCATTGTGGTTCATTTTTCTTATTTCTTGGAGACTATTATTCAAGCAGGTTCTAGGTTACCACATGAGGACAAAACCATAGAAACTTAAATCTGGGAAAATATGAAATTTTTATTTATTTTTTTAAATACCCTCAAAGGTGTGTAATTGATGAGTGCTGTTTGTCTTGTTAGGTGAGAAATGCTTCACATGCAGTTTTTAGCTGTTTGACGGTACTCATTAGCTGCATTTCAGCTTGAGTCATGTCACAGGCAGACGGGCTCTTTCTAATGTGATGTGACTTCTGACATGTTTCTTTTGTCCCTCAGAAGCTGCTTCAGTCTCAGGAAGTGTGGATGATGGTGTAGAAGATGAGCTGCTCTGAGACCAAACAGATACATAAAGGCATTATTTTTTTGCTACTTAAACATTGTATCTGTTGAAAATGATGACAGTATGCCTCTTGTGTTCCAGTTTTAATTAAGCACTCTTTTGCATTGGTCCAGGTTGTATGAACAGGAGGAGCAAGAATGTTTGTCCCGTGTCTAACCACTTAAATCACCAATGTGGAGCCTTCCCTACGTGTCAAGAGCAACACCGTTTGTCCAGCCATTTTCATTTTATTGTTTTGCTTTAGGGTTCTTGTACCCAGTGCTGCTGTGTCTGAAAAAGTTTGGGAAATTTGTGTTTAAGATTCCTCAAATGCACTGTTATGAGACTTAGTGGTTACTTAAAGGAAAATGGTTGAGGCATTTTCTTTTGTGTATATTGTTTATTATATATGTTAAATATATTAAAGTTAATCTAATATTTTTGAAAAGAAGTCAGGCAGCATTGTTCAATGAACAGAGTCAGTTCACTTTAAAAAGGGTGACATGAAGTGGTCCATTAGACATGAAACATTGTTCTTCAGAGAAATATTATATTGACCTATATTACAATAAATTACTTATTTTATTTGACAGAGATTGTATCTTTATTTTCATTGCACATTCCTAAAGTAAACTGAATAACCACAATGCAATAAAATAATATTCTTTCTTCATTGTTTCATCGGTTTATGATTAAACTGTGGTGGCCATTCATTCGTTTCCCTTAAAGACTTCTCTGTTTTGTTTGTGGATCTGTCGATGACCTCCATTCGGAATTGACCAATCAAAGAAAAGTAGGTTACGCTCGCTCATGCGCAGTTGGGCCAGAGTAATTTGTTGATATCCTATTCACTAGTATTCATTTAGACATTCGTATTCTATAGTCAGCTTTATCCACAGCGCGGGAGTTTAATTTACAGCAGGAAGCAGAGCTAAGATAAATGTTTTCTATATGAGGGGCTGATGGAAGACGCACGGGATTTGGTGAGTGACTTTGAGACATGTTTGGGCCTGAGTTAGCGCTCCTCCTTTGTTGTTATCGGTTACGCTAGCAAGCTAATGCTTCTGACAGCGTTATTTATTTGAAAGCGCTCATAAAAGCTTTGTGGTATAACCAAAATGATAGAGATTGACCTTAACTTTACACACAAATGTATGCGTTTTATTTTAACGCAATAAAAACTGCTTCTATGGCGAAGTAAAATTAAGAAAAAACGATTTCCGCTAGCTAGTTGTGCTAGTGCTTCTCGACAGAACTAGCATAACAGGCTAGTTTCAAAGTTCCTCTTATTTTTGTTTATTTTCTTTTTTTTTTTCTTAAATGTTGCAGTCTTCTGTTTTGTTCATGCATATTTTTATTTAGACTCTAATTGATGGCAGGAACATTTCCCCAGCATATTTGTATGTCTCAGTGGGCTCAAATTCCACCTGTAATAAACTGAAGAGGAAGTAGGGATGTTTTGATGGCACTAAATGCTTGAAATTTGTTCAGGTGTTTGGAATCGACTGGCGAAGAATGTGAGCTTTCAAAACATCTTTTAAAATGGAACAGGATTTTTGTGATTAGTAGGAATGACTAAACATGCAGAATAGACAAGTGTAGTTTTATTTTTAGTCTTGAAAGCTTGATTAAATTATTTGGTCACTATTAAAGTATATCATATTGTCTACTTAAAATGTAAAGATATTTTTTATCATTTTAATGACGTAAAGTCGATGTTGTTTTTTAAACTATTCTTTTGAATTTTAAACTCTTATTCACCATGAACAGCAGAATCAGAACTTGAAACTTTTACAACCGGATCCTGCAACCTTTACAGTCCAAAAAGCAATTTTTGACCTCTGTTTAGTTATTTTAAATATCGCGTTTAGATCTGCAAATGTTTCATCACTATTTATAAAGTATCACTATTTTATTGCTAGTTTTAGATTTAAAAATTTTAAATAAAAACAACAAAAAAAAGAAACAAAAAAACGTTTGGCCAAAGTGGATGGATATGTGTTCTTCCATGGCATGTTACTTGTGCAAAATGTTAGACATAGTTTTAAATCTAATGCTAAGGTAAATATCTAAAATAACATTCCTGATCTTGTGTCATTCTACATAAAAACTGAAACATTTGTCATAATATCTATATTTAAAATAATTTGTTGGTTCTTATATATTTTTTTTTATATCCAAACATAAACGCATTGCTCAACATTTTCCCAATTATCTACACAGTAATGGCGCCCTTTTTTCGAAGCTCCCTTGCTCATTTGCCATTTCCTGCTTTTGTGGTGTTTGTCCATAGAACTGTTCGAACTGAGCATCTATCTGTTTATCCCGCTGGAGAGCTGTCAATTGAGTTATTTTCTGTACTTGAAGTTTGCTGTATGGAAATGCACTTACATGTCTGGTGAATATACAGGAACATTTCAGCAAATTATTCCAGTGACATGAATAACTTTTGAAAATAACCTTTAAGAAGGAATTAAACACACATTTCACTAAGACCACATTTCTGTATTAATAGTGGGTTTTTTTATTGGTCTGATGTAATATTCTAATCTTCAATGTTTTAACTGTAAGCAGAAAACATCAGTCTGTGTGGAATTAACCTATATAATGTGTCACCTGGTCATAGTTACTTAAAATAAATTAATTTCCAATAATAATTGAGATGCATCTATATATAGGAATCAGACCCCCATTTCTCCCCCCAAAAGTAATATGGTTTAATCCAGAGTCAATACAATATTCAATTAAATTACACAAGAGATTTAATCATTTTTGAGACTTTTTTTCTTGTATACTAAATGTATACTAGTAGGTTGGTTAATAAAATACACATAGTAAAACGACAGATTGGCAACACCTGGGTATGAAATGAGGGCCTGACTTGGTGGAACTGTGAATTGACCCACTGTTTGTCCCTGTCCAGTTGCCATCAGTGCCACAGCCTTAGAGAAGGTTTGGTTTAGCAGGTTGATTAGTCTTTACCTGCTCCTTGTCCGAAAAGTACAAACCTAAAAATTAAACTACATTATTTTTAAAACTGCTCAAACTAAACATTTACATAAATATCTCTTTTTAACCTTCATTGCCAATTTCCTGTTTTTGTGAAATGCACTAATAGTTATTTCTATGTTACTCCATATTTATTTTCTCTTAAGGAGAACAGAACCATATGAATATTAATTCGCTGCACCTGCTTCACTTGAAAAACTTGAACTGTGGTTATCAGGAACAACCATGTTGTCAGTTTGTTTTTGGCTCTTGCAGTCCAATGGATATAGATATGGGTGTTTTATAAATTTATTCCATTGCTGCAACTGACATGCTTTAATAATAGGTTCACATGTGCATCAAAATGTGTTTGGTATGACTTAGTTATCACAGAATTTAGCAAACAGTTTTATTTTTGTTGTATTTTCAATTGATGTCAACATTGTCATTGATGCCTCTTGGAAACTGGGAATTATTTTTAATTATTTGATCCAAGTAATTAAAAATCGTTATTCAGAGATTCCCTTTCAGAGAAGGGAATCTCTGAATTTTTACGGCAATAAATATACTTCCTACTCCACCAGGTATTTTTATGCAAATATGTGTTCACACATCCTCAGTCGACTTTAAAATCCATGACCTTTCTGTATTTTGATTGAAGGTAATCATTCAACAATGGTGCATTACAAATTATACAACTAATGGTGGGCCTGTTTTACGGCTCGTGATGTATGTGTGATATTTGTGTAGTCGTTTTTTTCCTCTGATTTTTGCCATTTTCCTGTCAAGGCTGAGCGCACTGCACGTTCAGAGCGGAAGCGCCGGGACTCATTCGGGATGTTTGATGGCTACGACAGCTGCAGCGAGGAGTCCACCAGCAGCTCCAGCTCAGAGGACAGTGAGGATGACGTTGTGCGCTCCATCCCAGCCAGCCTGCCCATCATCAAGAACAATGGACAAGTCTACACCTACCCTGATGGCAAAGCTGGAATGGGTCAGTACATACCATCTGCTTCCTTTGCCTTCTGTTGGAGGATCTTGACAAAACATGATGTTGAAATGGCACTTCTAGACGGGGATCACTTGGATGGTTTACTTCTTTTCTTAAGCATTTTTTTGAGTTAGAATTATTTTAGTTCTCTCTCTTTAAAACCATGAAAGTGTCCATAACGGTTCCACAGTTTGGCGTAACTGAAGTGGGAACAAACAGCTTTGTTTCCATGGTGTCCATGGACATTTCTCCTGTCAGGGTGAATGAGTAGTTCCAGCTACTCATTCACATATTTGGTCTGAGATTTGCATTATAAACAGGGATGCCTTAGTTTTTATACTCATCTGCTTGGTCCAAGCAATTGCAATGGCAGTTATTAGTTTTTGTATATATTACTTTGAGGTATGTTTTCAATTTTCCCACTCGAATTAAACGTTTGTGTAATCTATTTTGTGATCTCTCCAGCTACATGTGAGATGTGTGGAATGGTTGGTGTTCGAGACGCTTTTTATTCCAAAACCAAGCGCTTCTGCAGCGTTTCCTGCTCCAGGAGTTATTCCTCAAATTCAAAAAAAGCTAGCATTCTCGCACGACTTCAGGTAAATCATCTAGATTAGGAGCTCGCCAAATCCTGGTATTTCAATCCGCTGACGCTGATGCCTGGCTCGTTTCGTCCCACAAGGGCAAGCCTCCGACAAAGAAGGCTAAAGTCTTGCAGAAACAGCCTCTTATGGCAAAGTTGGCAGCTTATGCCCAGTACCAAGCAAGCCAACAGAACCAAGCCAAGTCTAAATCTGGTAAGTCAGCAAACAGCATTGATTGTATTTGATGAGTGTATGAGTTGTATCCTGACCTTCACCTTCTCTGGACCTTCCTAGTCGTTCCTCCAGAGAGCTTCGACTGGGGAAGGTATATCTGCAGCAGTAACACGGTGGGAGCTCCCGTCAGCTGTTTTAAGCATGTAAGTTACAACTGAATATCAACTGCAGAGCCATGAGCTAAACTCTCTTGACTGAATATTGTTGTGCTGATTTCTGTGTAACATCAGGCCCCTATGGGGACATGCTGGGGAGACATAGAGGAAGGAGTGAGGATTGAAGTGCCCAACTCTGACACCAACCTCTCCACTAAGGTCTACTGGATTGCAGAAATTATAAAGCTAGCAGGTAAGACTGTCAGAAAATTAGATGGTTCCAGGGAACAAGCTAGTTTCTGTGCAAATGATTTGTCAGGATATAGGAAAAAAAAAGATTCCAATAAAATTTTTTGTCATTTTCTAATGACTAGATGGGTAATTAGATCATTTCTGTAGTATGTGGAGGAGGTGGATAGATGGTGCAAGAAGATGGAGCTTGTCAGTATTTTATAAAGAAAAAAAGTTGACTCTACATTAGAGATGCAAATCTTTCAGCATCTTTCAATTCAGAAATGATTTTTAACTCGGAAACCAGTTTTTCTTTTCAAATGGTCTACAGATTCTGTTTAAGTTATATTACTGACAAGAAGAAAAGACAGTGTACAGAAATAGAACATTTATATAAAATATTCCATAAGGTTTATTAAATATGGAATTAATTATATGTTCTGCAATTAAATTCATTCATTTTATTTTAAAAACTGGATATGATTTAATAAGATATTTCGTATTCCTGGACTGAAGCACATTATGAGTGAATTTCAACTGTTACCAACTTCACCAATCGAACACAGTGGGTGGGATTAGAATTGAGACCCTGGTTTCTGATTGGCTGCTTCAAACAGCAAGTCAAGGCAACTTCTTCCACATTTGATTTGACACTCTTCACTCTCATTATTAAACTAATTAATTAGTTAAATTGTCAAGTTGAAAAAAGGAAATAAATAGAAGACATTGGGTTTTTTTTAAGGCTGTTTTTTCCTGACTGTTCTATAAAAATGAAGTTTTTTTTTACAGGGACACAGTAAATAATGTAGAAAATGAATCTAGTGGTTAAACTTAAATTCCATTTGTTTCCCTGTTAAAGCAGAGGGTTTTGTTCTGTGGCTCTGCAGGGTTCAAGGCACTGCTGAGGTATGAGGGCTTTGACAACGACACCAGCAAAGACTTCTGGTGTAACCTGTGCATCCCTGAGGTGCATCCAGTAGGCTGGTGCGCCTCCAGCAACAAACCACTCGTACCTCCAAAAAGTGAGCATTGCTCCTCACTCGTTCAGAGTTTGATCTTGAAGCTGCCAAGTCTCCTTCTCGTTGGTGCTAACTGCTGCTGTGACATCTGTCACCTCTCACCTCCAGGCATACAGCATAAATACTCTAACTGGAAACCCATTCTTGTGAAGCGTCTCACTGGAGCCAAAACACTGCCAATGGACTTTACTGCCAAGGTGAAACACGCAGCTTCCCACGGCTACAGCCCAGCTTTGCCGAATGCTTCCTTAAATCAACCGCTAACTCCATGCAGAACATTTCTGGTTGTCTTCCCAACTTTAGGTCCGTGAAAACATGCAATTCCCATTTAAGAAGCTGATGCGGGTGGAGGTGGTGGATAAGAACTACCTGTGCCGGACACGGGTGGCTCTGGTGGAGCAGGTGATCGGAGGACGCCTCAGGCTGGTCTATGAGGACGACGGCCTGGATGACTTCTGGTGCCACATGTACAGCCCTCTGATCCACAACATCGGCTGGTCACGCAGCATCGGACACCGCTTCAAACGATCTGGTAGGAGGTGAAAATGTCTCACACACTTTGCACTCCAGTCCATTCTGAGACTGGGCCATGTAGATAAATGTACTGGGTCATCTGTCCAAATCCTTGATTTCTGGTGTATAAAATCCAGCTGTTAGTCATGCAGACTGCTTCTATACACATTGGGTTGTTCTCAGGAACAACCCAATGAGTTCACTGGAGTACCTCAGTGAACTCCAGCGGTACCATGATAGGATGAACCTGAGCATTAAGTCCAGTGATTAAAGTTCCTCACTACTAAATATTCCAGTGGTTGGAGCAGGAGGCTGCAGTCCTCCACCTGGCCGTCCTGAGTTCGTTCCCCCCCATCCTTGGTATCTTTGTCCTCTGATTGGCTGCTAGATGCTGAGCGCAAACACCATGACTGAATTATGAATATATCTCATGTAACTGTTTACATCCATGGCTGCCATGATTTTTACTGACTTGCCTCATGAACAGGCTTATTCACATGTGTTTTTAATTTAATTTCTTATTTGATGGAAGTGCTGCAATTGTGAAAGTTTTGACACTAACAGAATATCAGTAAAGATTTTCTCACTCTTGCAATGGAAGCGGAGCTACTGACAGGACTAGTTGAATTCATTCTTTTTGCTGATGTAGCACTTTTGTTTCCTCAGATGTCACAAAGAAAGCTGAAGGACAGGTCGATGCCCCCGCACAACTCTTTCAGAAGGTAAGAATATCTGACCTTCCAGTGGTGCAGGACGTGCGTCATGAAGTGTGATGAGGCGTCTCCTTAAATCAGGAGTTCTGTTTAAATTAATAGTTTAAATGTTTTTTCACTCTACGCGGCTCCATCTGGGCTCAGATTGAGATGTGAGATCTAGAACTCAAAGAAGATGAAACGCATCTCTGCAGCAGCAGTGCACCTGTTGAACTCTGACCTGTCCTTCAGACCGTTTCACTCCATGTCAGTTTCAGAAACTCTAACCCTGAACAATAACGCTTAACCTGCACTTTTAAGATGTTTTCTGTGTGGTTACATGTCTGTGCTCGTATGTACTGCTGCTGCTCTCTGGATCTGTTACCCCTCAAACAAATAAAGTTTACCTTTAAAAATGATCTGAAATCATTTCTAACTTTATGTAGAATTGTAAATCTGATACACTTTGACCTTCCTGGGATTTACATTGTTTATGACAACCAACATTAAAACTGTCTGTTCTTCCTTAATAGAGAATGTAATGTTCCATTTATTAAGCAATCCAGCCTTTATTGAAATGTGTCTGTTCTATCAATATTATCATCCCAGGTAAAAGACGTTGACCAGAGTGAGGAATGGTTCAAAGATGGGATGAAATTAGAAGCTATAGATCCCCTCAACCTCTCTGCTATCTGTGTAGCCACGGTAAAAAAGGTGAGCGTGGTCATTGGACGTGATGTGGATGAACAAAGCAGCTGATTTTGTTTCCATATTTTGATCACCTTCGAGAGGCAGCCTGACTGATGTGTTGCTCTGCAGGTGCTGGCAGATGGTTACCTCATGATTGGTATCGATGGCTCTGAGGCCATCGACGGATCAGACTGGTTCTGCTACCACGCCATGTCTCCCTCCATCTTCCCTGTCGGCTTTTGTGAAATCAACAACATTGAACTCACGCCTCCAAAAGGTACACTTCTGTTTCTCGGCCCACTCCAGGTTTAACCAATGGAGCTTTATGTTTCAGAAGCTCCATTCAGAAATCACTTCAAGACAGAGTCTAAGTGGCTTTTTGCCCCTGACTTATCAGTAGAAGTGGTTACAGTTCTGCATTAGTTGATATGTAAGCTGGGCCCAGCTGGCTTCATTGACAGATGATGTGTGTGAGACCAGCCAGCAGCAAGATTTAAAACCCTAAACACAGTCATAGAGACTGTTTGATAGAATTTGCTGACCAAAAAGAGGAACACTGCATCCAACTTAGATTGTGTGTGTAGAGTCGACCCGCTCTGACAGCTTTATTTCTGAAAACTCACAGCTGTGTGGAATATTAACATCTCTACTTGTTGTTTCTCAATGACCAGGGGAGTTCAGAGCTCTTTAGGTTTATAAGGCTACAGCAGGGCTTAATGCTCAATTTAAACTTTTTTGTGCTGCAGTTTGTTTATTTTTGCATGGTCGTTCGTATTATTAAATACGAACGTAATGAGACTTTACATCCCCAAAGCGACCTGCATGTGCAGAAGAAGATTGTAGACGTCACACAGCAGCGCTCTCTTTACGGGACGCCACCGTCAACTTGGTTATTCAGAGCCGTCAACATTGTCACAGGATCATAGCAACACAAAGGGAAGTTGGTTAAAACAAAGTGCAACTGTTAGCGATCAGTTTTTTTTTGACTGCGGTGAAAAAACCGGATTTGGTTCGTGTTTTCCTGCTGTGTGAATGTAGCCTAACAGATGTGAGGTTCTGATTGGATGTTTTGTTCGCTTGGCTGTTCTTCAGGGTACACTAAGCTGCCATTTAAATGGTTTGACTACCTCAGAGAAACAGGCTCAATAGCTGCACCTGTCAAACTTTTTAACAAGGTAAGATTTACTGGCCTTCTTTGTCCTCTGGAGTTAGAAGTGACCCCTTGATTCAGTTCCTTTCCCTGCCTTGGAGTGTTTAAACCGCCTCTACCATGCGGCTTACAGGAGGTTCCCAATCACGGTTTCCGGATAGGCATGAAGCTGGAAGCTGTAGACTTGATGGAGCCACGGCTGGTGTGTGTTGCCACGGTGACGAGAATTGTGCACCGGCTGCTAAGGATCCACTTTGATGGCTGGGAAGACGAGTATGACCAGTGGGTGGACTGTGAGTCACCAGACCTCTACCCAGTGGGCTGGTGTCAGCTGACAGGCTACCAGCTCCAACCACCTGCCTCACAAAGTAAGAACCTCAGCAGCCCACTTCCCTCATCCTGCTCTTTCTGCACCTGGATCCAGGTTATCTGCTTCATATGCACATACACATGATGGCACATCAAAGAGTCAGGCAGTCATCAGGTCTGCTGATGATTCAGTCAGATGGATTCCATCATTTCTCTGACATCAGCAGGGTTCAGATCCTTCTGATTCTTCACATTCCTGTGACATCGTTTCGGCTCCAGAGCTCAACAATATGAAAGAAGGAATGAGACTCAGTAACGTGGGATGATGCCAAAACGGCATCAACCTACAGAAATCCTGAACAATAAGACCTCTCTAAAGTAAAGAGACTTACTTGTACATCTTTACCAGTTCATGAATACTGGCAGGCGTTAATGTGATTGCACTGTCCAGAGATTTTGCGTTGTTGCATGAGTTATTTCAGAACATGGTGACTGCTGTAGGTTCAGTCAGATCCAGAAAGGATGAAATATGACCAACATGTCAGAGAGAGATTCACATACCCACGTAACATCCGGCTCTCCACTGATCAATACAGACTTGTGTGTCTGTAAAACTATCACTGCAGATAATATCTGTATAATATAATCTGCCAGCAGAATGAACTGTGTTAACCCTCTGTGGGATTGTTTTTTTACCACAATCCCTTCAGGTAACTAAAGGGCTGCCACAAATGCTTACTTTTTTCTAATTATCAATTATTCCTTTAAAAAAACAACAAAAAAAACTTATTTATATATTTTTAATAAATGTTTTTAAAACGATCTCACAAAATAAAATCTAGGTTAAAATTTTGCATTTAAAGGTGTAAATTATTTGTTGACGTACTATTAGCTGTGACATGACAAATGTAAATGTTTTTATTTATAATTTAATTAACATGTTACTTAATTACATGAATTTTGATGGATAAAAGTTAAATCGCATTGTCTGCTTTTACATGCAAACGTTCAGAACAGAACCTTTGTGTTGTGTTTCTGTTAAATCCACAAATCTGATGCACAAGCGACGTCTGCAAACAGCTTTGCCCAATTGGAGTTCACTTCTGCTTCTAAAAATGATCTGATTGGATGTTGGAAAAGGCTATTGTGCTAAAAGAAGCTATTCAATCCTGATTTTAAAAAAAAGTTCAAGTTTTTGTGTGTTTGTTTTTTCCCCACATCCTAATTTGTGTCCTTTATTGATGCCATGAACTTGAGTTTTGATCTGTGCTTTCAGGTAACAGAGACACGCCTCTGTCTGTGCCCAAGCAGAAGAAGAAGACCCCTCAGTACAAAGGACAGAAGAAAAGTCAGTATGCTTTCCTGCTCGGTGTCTTTCCTCTTCCTCTGTCTTTCCTCTTCCTCTGCCCGTCACTCGCTACTTTGGTGCTGGAAATTCATGTAAAATGTTTTCATTGGACCCATCGTGTCACATTGCACAGCACAGGGAAAAGACGAAAGCAGCATTTGTTCCAGTTGATAGTTGAGAAAACTCTTGGAAGCAGAAAGGATTGTGTCAGACCTTTCGGTTTGTGTTAACATCACCCAAACCACTGTGCTAATGTGAACAACTAGTGGACAGTGGTAAACTCAGATTAGTGGTCAGGGTGTTGAAGAGTTTCTTTCAAGTCACAGGGGATGTTGCTGCCCTGGGGGGCTTCCTTTGAAGATATGGCTTCCAGGATGTGAAGGTCACCTGTGTGTGGACAGCTGCAGTGGTGGAGGCTTTCAAACTGAACAAGGCTGTTAAGGACTGGTTATCTCGAGGAACTCCTGAAACAGCAGATGGGTTCCTGGCAGCAAGAAGCGCTGGTGGATCTAATGTAGTTACAGTAAGTGTGGGAGGAAAACGAAGAGGTTAGGTTGAAATAATTTTGTTTGCCCTCAAGAAATATCGACTCAGAAAGGGAAAATAGGGAGGAAAGTGAGTCCATCACCAGGGGACAGTGGTGGACGCTGAAGGCGCTACGTTTTTGCAGCGCTGTGGTTGATAATGTGGCATTGAGGTCTGGGGCCAATTCCACTCTAAAAAAGTCTATTCCAGTCGTTGATGACTCCCAGCCTCTGTGAGAAGGTTTACTCCCTAGTGTTGGTCGGGAGGTTCTGACCTTCAGGAGGAGCTGTGTGGCTTTCACCCTCAACAAACTGTGGAACAGATCTACACCATGGTGGATGTTTGGCAGATCTGTGGGTCTGAAGAAGGTTCTGGTTCATCTGTGCAGCATGTTGTAGAGGTGCTGCTGGAGCGCGAGGTCTGTGAGGCGACTGTGGCTCTGTGGGAAGAGTAGTCGGCTTGTGATCGGAAGGTTGTAGGTTCAGTTCCAGCTTCCTCCTGCCTCATGTCGATGTGCCCTTGGGCAAGGCACTTAACCCCACATTGCCTACCGATCTGTGTATCGGTGTATAAATGTGTATTAAAAAAACAGTTAAAATGATTGGAAAAGCGCTATATATAAGTTCAGTCCATTTACCGTTTACAAGAGCTGCTGCTGCTGCTGATGATGATT